CATAAGTACTAAGGACATTTTAGATTTTGTATTGATCAGTAAATGGGTGTGAGTAACAGTTGCTGAAGGCACCCAGCTACCCTTCTATTTACTTATGTTTTGGTAATGCTGACTTTGGAGCAAGCATTGCTTAAATGAACGCTGTAGGAATCCAGAACACTTAAGCTCATTGAAGTGGTCTGGGTGCAATGCCACATACCCCTTAACCCTACAGTGGTAATTATTGCAGTTTCTGAGAAACTGCAATAATTACCTTGCAGGGTTAACTCCTCCTCTAGTGGCTGTCTACAGCCACTAGACGGACTTCCGGTTGCTTAGATCACTTTTGGTCATCTTAATGACGCTGGACGTCCTCACAGAATTTAAAAGTATCATGAAACCACTTCCTATAGTAGTGTATTCCTTAAAAGAACACTCCAGGCACCATAATCTCTACATCTCACTGTAGGGTTTCTGGTGATAAATGTGTCCTGGCATCCCCTAATGTAACTAGTCAAAAGATTTGTAGAAAGGTTTGTAGAAAAGTTTGACTTATTACCTGGAGTCCTCCAAGTGCTGCTCATTGCAGATGGAGACCTGGGTGCTTCCTATCTAAGCTAAGCCCTCCTCACTGAGAGTGATCAGAACCTGCATAGGAGGTTCTACCTTTCCGTTGTCAGAAGTTCTAAACTGGTTTGACTACTTACATTGGGGAAGTGCTAGCGATGTCCTGGCACCATAACCACTAAATAGTCATCATTATACATCTGTGTGTACTGTGATTGTGGTGTTGTAGGGAACGCATATGTTTCTTGTTATTTGTAGATAGCTCTATAGAAGTTCCTTATAAAATAACAAATAAACATTTGTGGTATTATTATTTGATATATTTCATTTTAATCTAATTGATCACCCAGTCTTTTCATATGTTACTTTGTATTTATTTGTTGGTTTATGCAATTTTTTAAGAAACAGTTCCTCTATGCACATTTCTTATAAATCTTCTAACACTGAAAAAGATAAAGCTGTAAGTGTCATTTGGTGAATAATGTGTGTGTGTGCACAATATATGTGTGTACAATTACTGATGAATGAAGTTATAGGAAAAATATCAGAGTTGGTAATGCCCTTGTCCGGAAGGAGTTAACGCCTCATTGATCTTTATGAAAAGAGACCTGAATGATGTTCTGTTGAATAGATTTAGAGTTCTGTATTACATGAGGTCTAAATATTGTGAAAATATTACATGACTTGCATGAAATTGGTACAAGCTCAGTACTATTATCATTGAGCCAACTATAATATCACATGAGCTTACAGAGTTATCACATTTGTTCATTATTCTTTGAATGATAAATGCACTACTGGGAAGAAAATGGATTTCATAGCAGATAAATGAGTTCATCAGCAGGAAATATTTTCCTCTGGAGTTTAAATTTTATTGACATTAATTACCCCACAAAATGTCAGATTTCCAGAGGCCACTTAAAAAGCTTTAAGAAATATTTGTCTTCTTAAGAAATGTACTGTTAAATTTGCTATATAGAATAAGACAGCTCTGATTCTTCCATTGAACAAGAATCGCTTAGTAATATTAATCATGATAAAATCTGGACTTTAGGGTTGCATTTTTTTTTAATGTTTTTTCCACTCATTGTAAAGTACTGAGGATAGGTTGGCACTTTATAAATAATAAGAATTAAAAAAAAGTACATTTTTACACTTGCTTTGTTTTAAATTATTTTAAAATATATAATAATTCAAATATGACATATTTTAATTATAATTTGATATTATATATTTTTAAATATTTCAATATATATTGACGGCTCAATCAGAGAAGCTTATATCAATAATAGCTTTAGTATTCCACAAGTAGTACATTTCCTAAGCTGTGTAGAATTGAGATGCTGTTGGATAACAGGTTGCCCGACTTTTATAAATCTCAGCACATATTACAGAATGAATCTAAATGTATGCTTCTGTATAAATCAAAAGTTTCAATATACCTGCTCAAAATCATTTTCAAATCAGCTTTGCTTTTCACTATATCAACTTGTTTTTACACATTTGGGTTCATAAGAATTGGAAATATTGAGCTCTGTGTGCCACATTGTTTTAAGTCTCAGAGTTGGTAAATGCATGATTTCCGTGTATGCAATGCCCACTGTCAAACATATTAACCCTTCTTCTGTGATTGAACATGCAAACCATTTGATTTTTTAACCTCTATATATTTTACAAATACTCAACAGTTGTTCATCCTCCACTATTTATAGTCGTTCTTTGGTCCAAGCTGGTCTTTTTCATCCTGGTCTGAACAGTTTAATTATTTATTTGTCGCAATTTTAGGCCAGTTATGAGGCAGCGCTAGACAGTATTTTCCGTATGGTAATTTTGAAAGAGATTTAGTCTGCCTGATGTTGTTCAGTCCTCCAAATGGCAGCTTCCTTATATTATTTCCTGGTCATTACAATTTCACTTATATAGCACTGAATTCCAAAATGTGCTGTAAAAATTCCTCAAGAGGTGAGACCTGTGTTTACTGCATTAAGTTTTCTGTATTTAAAGAGTCTGCAGAACTTCTTGCTATTGTCAAGAAGTATCATAGAACATTTTCTATTTCTTGTTCTCCTCTAAGCCTTGTTCCTTGTTTAGATGTTTTCTGGTGAAGTTTACAGTTAGATTGCAGAAAAATAGTGAAAAAAAAATGTTTTTTTTTCATAGATCCAAACAAGTTATTGGATAATCTTCCCATCATATGTATCTGGAATTGGTGCACCAGGCACATATTACTGCAGGGTCAAATCGAAACAAAAACAAACAAAAGATAAGAACAATCAAGAGCTTAAAGCAGCTCTGTCGCCATCTGAGGTATTTGCATAATTTGCAAAGAAACTTGACAGTCACTTTACCATTGTGTGTCCATTTGCCATGGGGTGCAAACAGTGGTGTACTTTGGATCTGTGCTGCCCTAGGTATGACGGAACTCGGGCACTCCCTAATTTACATTTGCCCCACCCTTTCCTGCCAAGGCCACACCTCTTCCTGTTAAAGAAAAACACACACTTTGACAGAAACACACTCTCAGATACACTGACATACACACACACAAACACTCACTGATTTGACACAATCGGAAAGACACACACAATCACTGACTAGCTCACAGACATACACTGATAGACACTCACTGACATACACACACAATGACGCAGACACACACACTCACTGACAGACACTCACCCACTCACAGACACACACACACTGACAGGCATACACACTCACTCAGACACACAGGCTCCCTCATAGAAACACACACACAAACACACACACACTGATAGACACACACTCACTCACTCACAGACACACACTGGCAGACATACACACACACATATTCCCCCCCAACACTCACAGATTATTTTAATATTTTGAGAGCTGGGTGGATTTTTTACTTGGGGTCCAGTGGGGCTGCTGGCCGGGCTGTTTGGGCAGGCAGGCGGCTAGTTGAGTTCCAGGCGGGCAGTGAGGGAGCGCTAATTTGTGACATCATATTCGGAATGTGCCGCCCAAGGCAAATGCCTTGTTTGCCTTACGGCAAATACAGCACTGGGTGCTAGGGAAGAAGAGTTATACTTACTTACCTGTACCTTTACCTTGCAACCAATGCCATGCTCTTCATGCTGTTTCAACTGCCAGGAGCCTATGTCTGCCTTGTACTCTCATGCATGTGAAAGAGTACAATACTGAGGTATGGAGGATCCTGCAGTCTATCGACAGAGCTTTTTACCCCTTGACCATCACTAGCAATGGCTCGGGAAAAATGACAAAACGTGAAAACATTTTGCTCACTTTTACCAAGTTCTGTCCAGCTGAGAAATAAAAATATACTTTGTCTCAGTGTATCTTTTGACTGTGACTACACAAAATGGTGTGATGTTTATAGCATGCAATAAAAAATTGTAATCCCCTATTATTATTTTAGTGAGGAAACACACTAAGCTTTCATGAGCAAGCAGTCCAATGATGATACGACAGATGTCAGCAGAAATTATTCTTCTGTCAACTTTAATCACTTATAAAACATAAAGACAAACATAGTGTAAAATTATTTACAATGGGCATAAAGAATAGAATCCTCAAAGCACTCACAATAACATAGGCACCAAAGTGGCTGAAGAAGCAAGTGAAAAGGTCTCGAAGACCAACTTTAATGGCAAGGGTAATGTTCCCAGAGGTTCCTCTCCACCCTGCTTTAGGCCCTGATCCTGTCAGAAAGTGCATTCTCTTAAAGTTCTAATTTTATGTCCAATATATTGAGCCCCACAGGGGCATTGGAGCAAATATATAACATTCTTTGCGGAACAATGAATAAAGTGTTTGATTTCAAGTGTTATTCCAGTTACAGTACTAGTAAAATTCTTAGTGGATCTTGGGTGATATTGGATCATTTAACAATGTCCACATTTAAAAAAAAAACTGTAGATTTAAAAGTAAGATTCTGTTTTAAAATGGGGTAAAAGACACAGTGCTAGAAATTATTTTAAATTCTTTGACTTGTTATAGATAATCTTTGTTTTTTCTTGTAAAATCTCACCTGATACTTCATCATGTAACAGAACTGGCCAACATTTGACCAAGGCTCTTTCAACCCATTTGTATTTTAAGTTGTATTGTGTCCTAAAGGCTAAATTAAAATCCCACTTCTTTCAACATTCCATTGTCATAGTATTATATATCAGAATATTACTCTAACTTAAAATTCCTTGTCTCTTCCAATAATCCTTTAGGATAGTGCTTATCAATAAACCTATCCTAGTATTATTTGAGTCACAGAAGCCTCATCTTTTGTGCAAGTTCTACTCATCCTCAAAAATTGGCCTTTAGGAATATTAGTTAGCCATTAGTAATGTCCCGAACGGTTCGTCGAACGGTTCGCCACGGATGGTGAACATATGCGTTGTTCGGTCCGCCCCCTATGTCATCATTGAGTAAACTTTGACCCTGTACCTCAGAGTCAGCAGACACATTCCAGCCAATCAGCAGCAGACCCTCCCTCCCAGACTCTCCCACCTCCTGGACAGCATCCATTCATTGTGAAGCTGCATTCTTAGTGAGCTGTCCAGGAGGTGGGAGGGTCTGGGAGGGAGGGTCTGCTGCTGATTGGCTGGAATGTGTCTGCTGACTATGAGGTACAGGGTCAAAGTTTACTCAATGATGACGAATAGGGGGCGGACCGAACAGCGCATATGTTCGCCGTCCGTGGCGAACCGTTCGGCGAACTGTTCGAGACATCACTATTAGCCATTGATGATGACAGCATCAAAGTCAATGTAACTATTGACTATCTTTTGACTGTGTTGTAAGTTTGATGAACTTCCAACATGGTTAATGTGAGTATTTTATAAAGAATTTATCTTTATAAAATACTCTTTTGGGGCGGTGGGTGACAGTGCTGTCTAAAAGCTTGCCCTATAGTTAGTCAACACTCTGTTTTTTTGCTCAGAAGTGCCATTACACAGACCTGTGCACACAGACCTGTGCATATCTCAAGATCGGTCCACAGTGGTCTTTGGGCATTAATGCAAAAAAACATATAAAAGATAAGAACAGTGAGAATGGGCAAAACATTAATAGTTGCCATTTGTTTACTTCTCATTCTAGTCTCAATAGACACAAGAACCCACTGTAGATGATACAGGTATAGGCACACTCAGCACAGAATCAATGTCTGGACTTCCCTTTTTTTAAGGTTTCTTAGAGAAACCATAAGAAAAAGTATTGAAGCAAAATAAATAGAAAAAATGAGAATACCAAATTGCCAACCCTGTTTTGATCTGGATGAGTACTGTTGTGTGAGTTTGTGTTAGCTTGTTATGGTTTTGAACAATAAATAAACTATCCCTGTAGACACCATGTTACCACCAGTGCACGCAAACAAATTTTGTAATTAATATACTAAATTAATATTTTAAGTAATGTTTATTTACTTAAACTTTTTATCTTGGAGTGCACACCCTAATATATAAAGCTTAGAGCTTAGCACACCTGTGCTTCCCATTAGGCTGTCAGGATTTTAAATGTTTCCAAATGTCTTTGAGTCTTATAACAAATTTATTATATTTAGATTATGTAATATTATTCCCAATTGTTCTTCAAAGCATATCCCAGCCATAAACTCTCCGGCAGATCTTCTATTCCCCTCAGTGCCCACTATAAGCAAATAATTTCAGCTATTTATCAAATCATTGCAGTGAGTCCTAGAAGCATGAAATTGCTATGTATGAAATGCAGGAAAAGGATGAGGGATGTGGGCTGGGAATAATAAATCATTTATCCTGTACTAGTTAAAACTCACACAGATCTTTTCATATTGTATCTCACAACTGTCCGTTCTATGCATCTTTCCAGCCATATCTAATTTATTCTCAAAAATCTGCTGTCAAAGCTTTATGTAACTGTATCAGCCTGAGAACGTGGGTTTTTATTGATTAAAACCTTAAATAGTTTATTAAAATATTCTGTGACAAGTCAACGTAAATCAAAGCTAAGAAGTTTATTTATCTTGGAAATGTAAGTTATGGAGTGAATGTTACTTAGCATATATTGCCCACGTGTGCCATTATCTGTATCATGAGCTGTCTTGTTTATATTTTTATATGTGATTTTCAAGGAATGTATATGTAATTTTCCAGGAGAGAATGATGTCTGCAAGGCTGTGTTTTTCACAGAAAAACAGGTACCGTTACACAGAACAATACAGATTTATGGATCTACCACTGCCCAGTGTACCCATTGTTTTCAATTAAAGGACTACTATATCTAGTGGTGATAGATATAACTGCTATTCTCATGCATTATTTATATAAACAATGCAATAACAAGTATGAATTTAAAAACATGATGTTAAATAAATAAAAAAGAAAGAAATCTCTGCAGATCCCTGGGTTTAGAATGACCCTTAATGATGTCCATGAAACCAGGGAATGTCTTAAATATCCTAGCCAATCGCTAGCTTTAAATTCACCTGTTTGGGGGGAATTAATAAGACTGAACATTAAATATATACATGCTGGTAAATTCCTTGTTCAAGTTGATAACATGCTGATTGGCTGTGTAAAGGCAGACAAGTGACACCCTATTCTTCTGAAATAATAAATTCACACCACTAATTTAAGAGAATGCTAATGGGTTGCCACGTGTGACTGTATCCCTTGTATAGGAGCAGCCCTTCTTCACTTAAATTAGGAGGAGAGTTTTGCACATGATTAAAAGTGCTAATATTTTATCACATCATTTAAGAAACCCAACACTTCCTGTTGGGAATAAGGAGTGTATTCGCAGTGTACAGGATTGGGCAGGGGTATGCAGCCTTCAGCACTCCACATGCTGTGGACTACTTCTCCTCGGATGATTTGCCAGCATTATTTCTGTAAGGGTATTATGGGAAAGGAAGTACACGAAATTAGTTGAAGTTTGTCTACCATTGAATGAGGTAATAGTAACATTTAGATCCCAGTGTGTACTGTAACATTAGTGACAAGCTAAATGTTTAAATACGCTTATGTAAATTTTATTATTATTAATCTCTGCAGACAACAAGATTCCGTTTTCTGTAATGTCTAACTGTAGTGTACTGCAGCAATGCAGAAAAAAAAAAGAATGCACATGCATTAATTAAAGTAGACATTGAATTGTATTGTAACTTTATTCCTCACTTGATATACTGCAGATTTGTTCACAGTCGTCATATTGCATTTCATTGACAAAAACCCACAATCAAACTGTAGTGCTATCAGAATTTGCTTGTCAGCTGGCCTAGAAGTATAAGAAGGTAGGGATCTTTAACCCTTTGAATGCCAACTGTGCATGCACATTAGAGCCTCTGGGTATTTAAAGAGTTAAATATATTGCTTTCTCCGTTCAGTTGAAACATGTTAAACCATGCTGTATCAGATCCTAATAATTCAGAGCAGCAGCATCGAACAACTGTAAGAGATGGATAATTTATAACAAGTGTCTGTCATACATATATTTATTATCATTTCTTAATGGAGACAATTTACAACAAGTAAAAGCATGTCAGGCAAATGTAATTAAACTATAACAAAATCAACACCCCCTAGAGGTAGCACACACTGTGGAGTGATGTACCTGTTCTTGCCACGTTATATATTCATCAACAAGTGGGACATGCCAAGTATGCAAATGATTAGGCATTGATAAATTATTTTTGAATATGCATTTTCTGAAATCACAACATGTTTTTTCTTTGCATCTCTCTCTCTCACTCTCGCTCTCTCTCTCTCTCTCTCGTTGTTTCACTTGGCAAATTTTCTGCGGTTTATAAATATTGCATATCCCAATTGGGGAAAATGTATTTCAGAAAAACAAAAACAAAGTTCTATTCATTGTTCTGCCAGTTAACAGGGGGCTACCATCATGAGAATATAGGTAATTACCCTAAAAGGGGCACTTTGAGCCCCTGCAGGCAGAGAATTTTCAACTGCTGAATCCCCACCCACAAAAAAACTTGATTGTTTAAATATGGTAACAATGTTGTTTATAAGTATGTGTAGTGTGTGTGCGTGTATAGCAGTGTAAATATCTGAGCTCATGTCTATGTGTATAAGTATGCACACAGTGTGAATAGTAGTATATGTGTGTATGTGTAACAATGAGTAGCAGTGTGCGTGGTGGGAGCAGCAGTATGTATTAATAGAACTTTAAAAATAAAAATAAATGTAAGAAGATAACCTATTTATTCTTCCCCAATGCTGAGCATAACACATACATACATCAATAATTAGACATAAACAAAAAAGGAGGTAGTTTACCCCTACTCCTTATATAGTGAATGCTATATCTAAAACTACCTCTCCATGGGATACTTAAAACTACCCTTTAATGAATATCTAAAACTACCCCTCAATAGAATATCTAAAACAATCCCTCTCCATGGGTTATCTGAAACTACCCTGTGGCAAAAGTAACCTCGCCACTGGTTTTTGGAGGGGCCAGTTTGCCAGCCTCCTACCCTGTGACTTTGGCCCCTGAAATAGACCTGGCTAAAATACTTTAAACAACCGCATGCACCAGAGACCACCCTGGAGCTTGTTAACACCTATTAACAACTTGGAACATTTTTCACCGCAGTGTTATAATTGTTCGTCTGGGTGGCCCCAATTCCTATGGACAACCACGAGGTGGTGGCCATCTTGTTTGCATGAACGCAGGCAGCGGTGTTTGGGCATGAATTTCCTGGAACTAAATACAGAAACTCCCGAACACCTGACTTCCATCATCGCCTGCGTTTGGTTCTATGCACATGGGAGGGTGAAGCGGCTGCACACGGGGGTGAAGGGGCTGCACACAGGGGGACTGAGGGTGCTGCACATGGGGGGTGAAGGGGCTGCACACGGGGGGTGAAGGGGCTGCACTTGGGGGGTGAAGTTATGCAGAAACTCTTTTTTCACACCTCTAATAACAATATAATGTGAAATAACCTAAATAATGCAATGTGTTATGCTACAATATGTCCCCAAAATAAATAATGCTTATTGCAGATACTGTATACTTTTCTTTATACAGAAAATGCATTATGATGTTTGTATGCCATAGAATGTATTTAATGTTTTTTTTTTTAAAAGGCTTTTTTTAGGGCAGGATTAATCACATGGGGTGAACTTACCTTGTTGCTCGGCCAGAGAGGGGAGACAATTCCGGACCCACGCGGAATGGCGCGCACTTCTGGGACTGGGATGTTTCCTCCTGTCAGCCGCTGTGAGCAAGAGGGTTCATGCTGGGGCCATCCCCCAGGCAACACATGCCCCGCCCCATTCCAGGCCTGGCCCCCAGTAACGAGCAGGCAGGCGTGCACTGCGGAATCATTGCAACGGGGCCCGGCGGCGGCCAATATAACTTCTAAAGAGACCACACACCATTACTGCAGGTGTCAGGGGTCCACAGGCGGCCGCGCCCCCTGGAATGCCAGGCCCAGTTGCAACTGCGACCCCTGTATGTACGCCACTGATTATTGGGTTACTTCTGAAAATGTCAGCATCCTGACCCACTTTTTTTATAGAGTTTGGTGCAATGAAATCTTATAATAATGAAACACTCTCCAACAACACCATGGCAATTTGATGTTGGACTTGTTCTGCTTCTTTCATCCTCTATAAG